GGAAGTACGTATTTCTGCCGTCCAAATTTGAATCATAACAAGAAATATCAGCTATAAAGAATCTGAGGAATGACAGGGACATGCTAAAAGAGTAATTCAACAGTAGTTGTTTGGTCAGATTGCATTATTATTATTATTATTTTCAAGGCCAATGAACATCATTCAAACAGGTCCATATAAGGAGGTTAAGAAACCTGTAGGCACGTTTATGAACAAGCTCAAAAGATCTACAGCAGTTAGGAATTAACTAGACACTGATCCTGAATTCCAGAATAGAAATAAAATCTCGATTGATGAAATAATACTTGGTATACAGCTGTATCCAACCTTTACTGTATTCAAAATTCAGGTTAAAATATACAAACAGATAAAAGAAGGGAGGAGGGCAATTGGATCACCGATATCCTCAATAGCGGTAGACATTTTTATGGATTGTTGGGAGGTTCAGTCCTGCTTCTAGGTTATATTGTGAGCGTCTGGTCGAAAAATTAACTGTATTGAAATCTGAACGTGTCCTTAAGTTCTTCAGTCATATAAACCCAATAGTGGATGGGATTTAGTTCACTTTCTAGTTAGGAAATGAACAGGTTGAATTACCCATGCTAGACTGAAAAATCAAATGAAATCATAATGGTGGGTTAGACATCAGTACATACAGGAAACCGTTAAATTCTAGTAGATATTTAGACTTTCAATTATTCCATCTTAAATGTTTATGTAATCAAGCCAGGAGTTTGTCTAGTCAATTAGAAGATTTAAATAATGAAATAAAAAATGAGGAAAACATTCTTATTATTATTCCCTTAGGTTTCCAGTGGAACATAAAGCTTCAACAATACATCTCCACTCTCTTCTATTTCTTACCGTCCTCTTCATCTGGGTCCACGATTGCCCAGAATCTCTCATCTCCTCCTCCCCAAACGATCTCCTCCATGTCACCAACGACCCACTCATCACTTCACAGTGGGATTCCACTTGAGTGATGGCTTGCATTGCACGCGATGTCATTTGACGCCCTCCTCAACGTGTATCCAATCCACCTTCATTTTCTCGTACATATTTGTTGAGCGATCTGCTCTTGCCTGTTTGTTTGTTGCCAGAGTTTCCTGTTGCTAATTCTTTCTGGCCGGCCGGCCATGTGATCTTCAGTATGCAGCCAGCGAAAGCAGGTGTTGATAAAATTCTATAAATTGTTTGAAATCCTTTTCGTGACAGAGGCACTGAAAGTTTCTGACACGTAAAGAATTAGTGACTGACTTCACATTTGTGTTCAGAATCCGAATTTTGCTGTTTTGCTGAGTGAGTGACGGCAGATTTCCAGGCTGGTTTTAGGTTAACGAAAGCATATCTTGCCTTTCCGATTCTGGCTGGCTGGCTTTGACATCTTCATCCTTTCGGCTGGCTCGTGGTTGAAACCGTGCTTTCTGGCTGGATGTAAATTCTGTCAAATCTCTCCCTTTGGGGGTGATTCGTGGTGGTTACCTTCATCCCTTCCATTTCCTCTAGGTTTACCTGGAGTCTTGTCTTCGCTGCTAGCCAGCCTCTTCTGTCAGTTTGTTGATTTTCGCCTGCAAGTCTTGGAGTTTATGTGACACTAAACAAAAATCATCCACGTGCGAAATCTACAACTTCTAGAGTCTTCTTATCGGTGGTTCAGTGTATTCCTGTCTTTCCACTCCCCACACACTGTGTGCTGCATAATCCAGTCCACCACAATTAAAAATATTATTGGTAATAGTAGGCAAGCAGCCTTGTCTTACTCATGTATTCACTTCAAACGCCTAGCTTAGTTTGCTGTTGTCGATCATTATACTGAGGTTCTTTGAACTGATTTTCTTAATTTGTTAGCAGTTAGAAGAGAGAAAGAATGAACATGTTTGCAGGATAATGCGAGCTCGTTTTATTTCGTGGATCCTCATCAACTGCGTACATCCTAAACAAAATCAAATTATAAGTTTAAAAAAGGTTTGGAACATACTTTTAGCAGTTATTTCACTAAGTGCTGAGTAGTGGTCATATATATATAAAGACTTCTTATCTACAGATCGAAAATAGTCCTTTTTCTTCTTTCTTGGTCATGTATATCTTGATGAAGATTTCTTAATGGCGATTTACAATCAATGTATCATCTATAATCCTTAGTTCATCTTCAGTTAACTCTTCTGAGCATATAGCTATAACTCTGTGGCTGTGTTCTTAATAAATTTCTTTTGTACTGGAGAGGAACAAAGGTATGCAAATGTGTGTATTATCCTGTCCACGTCCTTTTCCTATACAAATTTCTGTTTATCCTACTATTTGGTTTTCTTGTAAGGAGGACATTTAGGAAGGCAATTCTATTTAGGGATTCCTCTTCGCACGCGAATTTCATAGGAGAACATACTTGATTTTTCGTGCTCGGGAACATCTACATGTGTAGTTAAGTAAAGGTAAAGTAAAACCATCAACAGTTCGATATTAGACCACCTGGTCCAAACTGGCCACAAAGCCAACATTGAAGAATCCTTCTCTATCATCTACCGGGTACCAAATCAATTGCCAAAAACATCCAGGTACCGCATCATGCAAACAGCAGGGGCTATCGTGATTCGTCTTAAACAACCGGTGCTCTGTCCAGCCAGCCACTACTACTGCCCTGGCCAGTCTTCAGCGGAGACTATAAATTCATGAATTTGTATTATTTTTCTTATTTCCCCTGATATTCAGTGTGTAGTGTTATGTTGATGCTATCGAACTGTAATCCATTGATATTATTATTACTGATTCGATGTTATTTAAACATTCATTCACTATTATGTACACATAACTTTAGAACCTGATAAAGAAGTGGTTATCGAAAAGTATATTCTTTGTTCAGTAACCACTCTTTTGAAAAATTTTAATGAGCATTTTTAATCAGTTAATATGTATAAAAATTTTTTAAAATATGAATATATATTTTAAATGAAAAAGACACTTAACTACGAAGTCACTATTTTACCATACATTCTTCGATACAGAGAGGGTCAACGTCTTTTGTTGTAATGTCTTTATTGAGATGTTTTTAATTATTTGAGCGTAGTTCATTAGTCGCTTCTTGGTGGTTAAAAGGATAATGATAAAAAAATGAAATACAACTGCCAAGGAATAACCGTTTGGTAAGTCCCTCATGAACGATGTAATCACAATATTTACATTTATTTGGAAGTTTCAGCTAACTTCGTAATTGTCATCCTTTCTTCTCGTAGATTGAATATCGCTGTTCTGATATTTGCATACTACATGTTGACTTGATCCGCATTATTTGACTTTGTTCCTGTTTCATTTCGAATTTTGATGCTTCTCCTTTTGGTTGTACAATAAACTGATAATGTGTCACGTTATAGTGTGATTTTGTGTGAGTGCGTGAATGTCATTCTGACACTGAACTGTCTGCAGCAACTCTTCGTATGTGGTCTTTGTGGACAGAGTTTTCGATCCCTCCACCTTGATGGGAATGCTCTACTTGGTTCTAAGGTGAGTTTTACAGTTGAATTTTGTTTAATCAACTTTGTTCTACACTACTTGTTTTGTACTAGAAACTTATCTGATCTGTGTAGCCACATAACGGCAGTGTTGAGGTAGTTTTGAGTTTTGGATGTTATTATTATTCACTAGAACCACTTAGATCTATTGGCGAATAACAGTCTTTCACTGTCCTTGTAGCGTTGAAATCTATCTGGCTGTTTCAGATCTCTGTTTCTGAGGTAACTATTAATCTTTGGAAAATTGAGAACACCAGGAGTTTTGATACCAACGCTTATATGATTATCGTAGGAAGGCCTTAATTTGCCCTGAAAATAACAAACAGTAACTGTCTTAGATCCGTCACTGTTATATCTCTCCTTAAATTTATTAAGATTTTATTCGATGAACAGAAACATTAAAAAAAAACCAAAATAACTCTTGGTTGAATCTGTGTATGCATTATGCTCATATCTGAGGAGCTGGATGATTATCTCCTCCCTTTCATTTGGTTTACTTGTTAGCAGTAATCAAGTAGAGCTGTTAGAAAGTATTCCGTATATTATTATTACCACAGATGTTAATCATGGCCTGAATAATGTTTAGCTAATATTTTATACTACTGTCAGTAGTAAGATGACAAACACAAAATTGTAAAATGACACTCCAATGCAATATATGATTCAATAGTAGAATGATACCAATCATGTAAGAGGTTCGAGTTTGATTCCTGGCCGAAGTACTGTTAGATACCACTGAGCTTGCTAGCAGAGAATAAGCGTGGAGAAAGACAGAAGGTTAGGTGTGAGCGTAAGAATTCCCCCTACTTTACTGGGGGATAGCTGTGTAAATGTTGATGGTATTACAGTACAAATCAGCATTACCAAACAGTGGGATTTCGTGGATGGTCACGTTTTTCAGCCTCTCTTTGAGGACAGGCCTTACGCTGAAAGATTCCTAGACTGTAAAATTCACCTTCATTCAAGGAAGCCATCATAAATTTGCATAGATTAACTTGGTCATGAGTCTGCTTTCCTACAAGTACATCTTGATCCCACAACTCTGTCCGTTGATGGTGTCGTGTACGCATACGATATGTCATTGCATGGATCTGCAGCCTTACAATAGGCTGCTTCTTTGCGACATGTTGAGAGTGAAATTACCAATCGTTGTTGCGACGACTAAGCATGACATAGTTGTTTCTAATAAAGCTACAATCTTATTCAGGAAAACTGTTAGTGAATCGAAAAGAAGTTGGATGAAAAATGTTTGCGTTTTAGAGACATCTTCACGTCTCAATATTAACGTCTCTACTGTCTTTCAACCTGCTGCATTTTTCGGATATATTATACGATATCAAAAAGCATAAACTTCTTCATGGTCTTCTAAATCCTATTCTCAAGAGAGCATTAAATTTTCGAAAACTGTTCCCTGTATGTTTCAAGGAGTCATTTTGTTTACGTTGGTTTGAATATGATATGAACTCGCGTAATGGAAACCTACATTCGTCTGTTAGTATGCCTTCAAGTTGTCAAAATAATGATTGCTACATTCGTTTTATACAATCTGGCGGACTTACTACATTAAAGGGTGAGCTAGGGATTTCCAAACAAATTGTATCATCTCAGGACGTTACTTTAACTAGAGCGAACAATGCATGTGGTCTTTCTGCCCTACCAACTGCTGTTTCAGTGCTTTTAACTGGTCCGTGTAGTTTGAATACAGCTGAGATTATTGCTTCATCTTCTGCTGCTGCCAGTGAAATTAATAAGTCAGTATGATTTCTAACTAAAAGTACTGACGTGTTAAATAATATGATGTAGGGAGATACTGTTGTAAAGATAAGCGTACGTGGTCAATCAGAAACCTCCAATCAAATAACTTTGGCTCCTCAAGATTTCTGTCCTTTAAAATATTATAATGCAAAGAATGACCATTGATTTCGTGCTATGGTTAGGAAATTTTCTGAGGGCTTTCCTGTAAAAATATATCTCACTAATATGTTGCCGTTCTATCCTGGTCCACCTAATCACCGGACAATTTGTATTCGACCGGTTCGTATACCTTTAAATGCATCGTTGACGTCAGCATTTTCAGCTCCGAATAGCAGTCTTTTGGAGGTTAGTCTTACTAGTGTTATTGATTATTATTATTCCCTTCAGTTCCGAGGAGAACATAAGGCTTAAACAACACATCTTTACTTTGTTCTGTTTTCTGCTGTCCTCTTCAGCTAGGTCCACGATTAACCTAACTCTCTAATCTCTTCCTCACACGATATCCTCCACTCCAATCCAGGATAAATCGCTCGTCACTTAACATTGGGATTCCACTCGAACGATGGCCTGCATTGCACGTGGTGTCATTCGACGGCCTCCTCAGTGTATGCTCGATTCATCTCCATTTTATCCTACATATTTGTTGAGGAGTCGGCTCTAGGTGGGTTTTTGCTAGCCACAGTTCCTTGTTGTTAGTTCTTTCTGGTCTATCAGCCATTGGAGCTTCAGTATAGAGACAGCGAAGGTGGCAGCTGTTGATAAAAGTCTGCAGCGGCTTGTTGGAAATCCTTTTCGTGACACGCAGTGCGAGTTTCTGACCCGTATAGAAGGACCTATTTCACATTGCTGTTGCAAATCGGAATCTTGTTCTCTATGATGAGTGAATGACAGGAGAAGATTTCCAAACTGGTTTCAGGTTAATGTATTGATGATAATTACCAAAGCAATAAAGAGGAGTTCAGTCGTTCAGCGGGAGACATTACCGAAAGCAAACGATATAGAGTTGTAGAGATATATAGCAAACGTGAAAGGAACACAAAAAAACATAGCATGAAGGTCAGAAGTAGCTCAACACGGAAGATCTGTGCAAATGGTGTCCTGAAGATAAGGTGAACATAACTTATCTATATAGACACCAAGTCTCTCGTTTTCTATATCAATATTACCACTAGATTGACATCTACCCTTAAAGCTGATAATTCCACTTCACATTCACTATATAATCCAAATTCTATTTATACATCAGAATTCTATATAAATTTATATGCATATAAGAATGGAAACAAACTGGCCAGATGTTGTGAACAAATGAATGACAACAAGTCTAATTTCATTCAACAAAGTTCAAATAATGATTGCAAAACTGAACAAAATTCTATAAAAGTTTTGTCCCATTTATGTCTTAAAACCTCTAATGCAATTTGAAAATGAAACAATCGTATCTGGACTAGTATTTTCATCACGTAACACATTTTCATATTTTTTTGTTGATTTGGATTCAATCTGAACATGTTTGAACAATGTTCTTCAATTACTAGATGACAAAATACAAGCTAAGCGTGAAAGTTCAACGTTACCCAGTACAGAAGTAATTTAATTCACTTTTATTGACTGGTGATGATTAGTGAATGTTTATTATTTTTCTTTTATCTCCGAATTAACAAGTTCATGAGATCTACTCAATGATGAAACACTTACAAACAGGAAATTTAAGTTCTCCTGTGCGTTAATCTCCGTAGTGGTTTCACAATGTAGTTGTAACAATAATTCTAGTATACACCAAAGTATTCATCTAACAATTACAGCTACTATTCACGCATTGGTTCAAAGAGGTTTGAGCTGACATCGGTTAGAGAACTATTGGAAAACCGACTGGGAGTACCGGACAGCGGTTTCTTCCTAGTTTAGGACTCTTCGTCAGTATGCTTCCACCGACAGGGCTCGAACCCAGAACCTTGAATACCAATACTTGAATATCATTGAGATACTCACTAGCGGCTGGACCTATTCAGGAAGCAGTTACATGGAGTTCTAGTGGGAAGTCGTCACCAGTAGGGTACAGAAGGTACGGCGTGCGGACAAATAGTAGCCAAAGACACTGGCTAGCGGTCGCACTATGTCATGATTTGACAGAAGCTAGAATTCATGGGCCATTTGATCTAGTCTCAGTGGTTTATGGTCTACCAGCTCGTCAGCCTTGTAACTGGCAGGTACTGGGTTCGGACCATGGATGTGGGTGCGTACAGACGGACAGTCCCGAACTAGGACGAAACGGCTGTCCAGAACTCCCAGTTGGTTTTCCAATGGTTCTCTAACTGATGTCAGTTCATGATGAAATTCTGTAACCAATCAATCAAATTCCAACAAAAAATACTTGAAGATTAATGAGATGCTCACTAACGACTGTAGCCATTACAGCTACTATTGATGGGGATCGTCACTTCCATTGGAAGAATTCTGGTGGTTGCTTTTCAAGTTCTACAGACTATATGTAGTTATACCAGGTGATGTAGTCGTTTGCATTCTAACCTTCTACTCCGGCAATATATGCAGCACTTGCTTTAGTCATTCATCATAATTCCTCTTATTGCTTTGAGACTGGAATTCATCTGGGAAATTCCTCCAGAAAGTTGTGTTCTTTATTTGAATCTGATCAACATCGTGGTGGTTGTATTTCCTCCTTAACACTACTCATTGACTATCATTCTGGTTCTTCTCAACAAATCCCAATAGAAGCTGAGGGGATTTTTCATAGTTTCAATTTCATCCAACGTTTGGCTAAGGCTTGTGAATATCCTGTTCTTTTACCGCTTTCCAAGAGCTGTCCAGCAGAGGTTGAAATCACCAAGTCTAATGCTGAGTTTATATCATCATCATCATCCAACACATCACAGGTGGATCAAAGGAATCGATTATATACTCCTTTTTGTTCTATGCTTTATGGAAAAGCTCATTCCGTGGGAAATAAAAGAAAACCAACTTTGAGTTTTTTGTCATTATCTCTGATGGATGATGAAACAGCTAAGCTATACAGTTGCGTATTTCAAGGGAAATTCAGTAGTTGCTTAACAATGTCTTCAATGGCAGATAAAAATTTGGATCACTCAGCTTGCTCAACCACAGCAGCAAGCATTGAAAATCATTTTTCAAGTATGCATGCATTGAAATGTTCACTAACCCAAAGTTACGGTACTCACACACACTCTATGTCCAATTCACGAATTATAAGCTTAACAAATACTACAATGGTCGTCTCTCTATCAAACAATGATACAGTTACACTTCTTTGGCTGCCAGTTAATGCAACTTCAAGGTTTGAAGCTCCGTGTTCTACTTGAAACGGATGAAATAAGGCAATAGAAGACGACGCAATTTAACAACACAATGTTGATAAGTAGATTAACAATAATTAATCCATGAGCATGTTAAAGAGACCCAGAAATACGAGCGCACCAGTGACCTTGAATGCATATCATTCGTCGGAACCTACTATGAATGCCCTGAACTAAATGAGAGGCAAATCTCACCCCAATTTCTTGTTTAAGTACTATATGGTTAGCTGGGTTGATAGCTCGTTAAAGTTAGGATTAGAGTTGGGGTGTTTTATTTTTAGTATGTGTATTTTTCTGGTCAATAGTTTTGGGGTGTTTTCTATATTTTTCTAGTAAGTAAACTGCATTTTTATTTTTAAAAAAAGCACTGGCTATTATGATTGGTTGCCTGAAGGTCAACCGTGCGTTCGCATTCCTCGGATCGGTATTCTTTAATGTCGCCTAGTCTATATCAGCATATCAACAGGATGATAATTAGCTAACAAAGTTAGTGCAGCCTATACAGGGTAAAAATAAATATGAACAGTAAAACAAGTGGTTGCATAATGCATGATTTGTATATTGAAAAATGAAAGCGAATGAGTAATCACACTACTGAAATCGGTTACAGAAGAAAGATTAAAGGTGAATAACGTAGATTAATAAGACAGTTTTAACAACAGCATCAGCAATAACCTGTAAATAGCATCGAGGGTAGTGAAGACTTTCAGATTTTACACTGCTGTTAAGATAGCCAAGATAAAGAATGTGGCCTGCTTTTCATAGTTGGCTTCTGATGAATTGTGCTGTATGTGGCAGATGAATTTGTAAAGTAAAACTAAGATTATGAGGAATTCGATAGATAAATCAAGGCTTTACGATAAGTATCGACAAGGTGTGCTAAAAATCATCACAAGAATACTCCTTCATATCGTCCTTGCATTCTCTTCTGACTTGCCATTTCCCATTCAGATTTCACTAGAGGGCCTCAATTCAACTGTCTCTCCAGCGTATCTTCATCTCCATTCCTCCTGCATATTTGTCCGGCAGCAGGTTCTATTTGGTTCTTTACCAGAGTTCCTTGGTGCTAATTCTTTCTGGTCATCTGATGCTTAATATCGAGTGAAGATAGCTGCCAGTAAAGGCCTGCAGGCTGTTGGGAAAGCTTTCTATGACTCGCGCACCATATCTCTGAATTGTATAGAAGCAGTGAGGATTTCTGTTACTGGGATATTTATGGTAAATTCATAAACCTGGCAGTTTCATAAGTGAGCACTTCTGAGGAGTTAAAAGCTGGGACAAAACTCTATCCAGCTCCCCTCGGTGTTTAGTTACTTCCTAATTGATTTCTATTTGTGATGAAATCTGCGATGAAATGGTTTAAAATCTTCACAAAACCCAAAATCTGTAAACGCTCAGGTATCCTTCTAGTAATATTCAGATTACGGGGCCTTTAGGGATTTAGAATGCTTTCAATGCAGACTTCTTTATGAAGCCAGCCAAGTAAGTCAGAGAATCATTGAAAACCATGAAGCAATGGGTAGTTGGTTGATCCTAGTTTGGGACCCTTCAGTAGGGTGTACCCGAGACACCACTAGGGATCGAACTTGGAACCTTCAGATTACATAGCCACTCTGTTGACTATTTCTAACATCTGTCAGTTCGTGAAGTAGCGCTATCGCCAACTGACACCGTAGATAAGCATTCACTTCACGCTGAGACGTTGGACCCCACTGGTCTTGATTTTCCATACATTAACTTTGTGACCTGATGGTCCTAGGCTTGGTCGTTGGTAGGGTCAAGGATGAGAACTTCTGAGAAGTCTCAAAAACGAACAAGACAGCTGTTCAATGTTCCCAGGTTTTCAGTGATTTTCAAGCTGAAATCTTTCACATAAGTTTGATGAAATATCTTTGGACATACAAAAACTTTGGTGTGGAATAAATAAAGTCATGCGGGGAAAGGAAAAGAGAAAGAGATCTGCCTTCATTATTATTTTGAACATAAATATTCCCTTAATCTTTAGTCACTGGGATAAACTTCTCTTTTTTTTTCTAGATTTAATAATGTTACAACAATCAATTGAGAAAAAAGGAAGAAGTTTTTCCTCAGCGCGGCATCCATTCATTTGAGGAGAGAATGTTTTGCTGTCAAAAGAATTTATTTGATATATTAGCAAAGATTGAAAGGATAAATTTGAAAGCGGAGAAAAAGGAAGACAAAGAGTGAGGCAAATTATTGTCATTTTTTTTGCATACAAAGTCAAAGATCATGAGAACTTGTTGCCGACTGAACAATTTTATAATGTCATAATTTACTTTCACCCGCATGAATAATATTCTGATGCTTGAAAAGATGTGTCTTTCTTGATCCTCTCTTTTCCTCTTCATTTTTTTACGTTTCTACTTGAACATAAGGCTTTAAATCTTTTGAAGTTATACTGTAACGAAGAAGACAGGGGGCAGGCAACAGATCGTTTATTGAAAAAAATCAAGAGGTATTTATAGATTTTTATGTGCATTATCATTAGCGTTATTGTTAGCTGAGAAGCAACCTCTTCTGATTGGTTGTTTTCATGCTGAAGGTTACTCTGTACTGCTTGTGACGTTTCTTAGAAAGTTAAGCCATATATCTGCTAGTCGTATTTGAACAAGTTAAGCGTGCTGTGGTCGGCTGGTGAGTTCCTGAAGATTAAGCTTTGTTATTGTTTTTTCTCATGACCCCGATTTGGGACGTTAACATTGATGTCAATTGTTGTCTACGATTTACGCTTGCAGACAGCTCTCACCACAATACTAGCCATGGTGTTTCTATTTTATTCAGTGAGATTAAAGCCTCCCAACCCTAACCTTCCCTTCATTCTGGGCATACTAAGGGCTAGTAAAAGTGATGGGCGAATGGAGCTTGAACATGCCATGTGTCTGGTGAACAGTCTAACGTTGAACCATCGACACTGAAGACGCGTAATGATATGAAATCTTAATAGAAACGTTATTTTTGCTGAAAGCTTGACATGTGAAAGTATAAAGACACGGGCAGGACGAATTATGTTTCCACTAGTCTTCATCGCTAGTTCATTATCAAATTTCTAATGAAAACTTCATAGTCAGCAATGCGAAAGCGTTTATTGAAAGCAACAGTATCCTAAAATGAAGCTATTTATGAAACACGATAGTTTTTGGTCGACAGTGGCTAACAGTGGAATCTGCAACTCTGCATTCTATTAAATAGTCAAAGCGCCCTCTTCTGGGAGACGATTTGTCAACCGAGACCAAGAATTTCAGTCAATGAGAAATATAAAATAACTTAAATAAGTAATACTTGGCAAGCATTTAACACTGATGAATTAAACATATGCAAGCCCAAATCTTCAAATGAAGTGGATTTTTATCCACAGCATTGGTTAGTGGTAGCGCTGTATATCACGAATTGAAAGAGGTTAAAATTCATCGGTCGACAGAGCCTTGTTTAGCGACTGGTTGATGAACGAGGTGGTCTCGTAACCGAAAGATCCTGGATTCGATTCCATCTTCGGTTTCATTTTTGAATATGACGCTGAACACGTTATCTGGGATGATAATGAAAGCTATGCAAATAAATTATTCAACTTAGAGGATCCAAAAAAGTTTAGAAACCGGGCAGTTTGAATTTTCATGTATTTTATTTACTCCGCCTGTCTGTTGAATAAGCATATGAAGCTTAATTTAGTTGACTGTCAGTGGCTAACAATGAGATCTAGGACGAGTGTTTCAACCTATTTAGGACTCTCCAGCTAAATGCACCGTCACCCCAATGAATAGTGATGCACATACTATAACTCTAACCCAACAACAATCATCGGTCGAAAATTTACAGCATTTTGTTCCACTGAGATTTTTGTTTTAAATGATGATGCGCGCGAAGGCGCAGCTGAAATTGTGGCATGGCGTGGGACGGATGGCTGGTTTTCTACGACCAGTCCCTGTCACTTGGAGGCATATGATGGCTTCCAATCCTCATCAGTGGAATTATTTGGTAAGTTTATTTTATTTTTATATTATTTTTATTAGTAGTTTTCATGTTTAGGCTAGGTTTTAGCTTCATGTTTACTATGTTGGGGCATTTAGGGACCATACGGTCATAGTTTGTTTAGGGATGCTCTGGCATAGGAAAGCTATATATCAATGGATAGCTCTCGACGAAATCTACCCATTGGTACCGGTATCACACCTTATAGCTTCTCCTCAGCCGAATAGGGAATTTTTTCAAAGGCTACAGGGGAAACCTGTTTTTAGGCCTAGAGTTCATGCCGCTGGCTGTTCTCTTGACACTTTTAGCTCCGCGACCTCAGGTTGTATGCCGTTATGTATGTAGCTAGGGGGCATTACCAACCATAGGGCAGCAGGGGGGCAGAGACTGCTAGGCAGAAATAGCTTTTACCCTCTGATTTATATACCATTGGATTCCTCTTGACGAGACAAATCGATTGGTACCCGTCTCGTCCCTGTAGGGATATGGCTTCTTTAATTTCAGCAGTTATCGTCCTATGTTAGCGTTTCTTAGGTTGAACATGCTCATCCATGCTCATTTCATCCACGATGTTATCGGCAACGGGGAGCTGATAAGGAAACCGAGGCTGACCGGCAGCTTAACCGGACTTCTACTGATATGACTGTGGCGACGGTATCAGTAGGGGATAACTTGGGTCGTCACACCGTTCCTAGCGTAGCTCCGTTGATAGTAGCAACGGGCATCAACCAAATTTGTCAAACCTCACAACCTACTGATACATTGGCGATGGTATCAGTGGGGACTGGACTTAGTCGTCATCAATCCAACCCCATGAACCAAACGAATTCAAAAAATATCATGCCGGATCGGCCGTGGCCCGGATTAACAACGACCGCGCTCTCTGCGGCCGTGTCACAGGGCAGAAGTGATAAGTACACTACTGAGACACACCAGGCCGTGTGTGACCGGCCTCAAGCAGATGTCCCCTGGGTCTGCGGTCACGCAACACTAACCTTTCTTCTATTTCAGGTACCCGA